ACATAGTGAGACCCCTGCAAGGAGTTCAGATGTCACCATACAGGAGTCCATGCTCTCCTTCTACCTTGATGGCTCTGAGATTTGAATTTAGGTGTTCATGCTAGCCATTCAGAGCCATTGCTTGCTTAGTCATTCTGTAGGTTTTCAATATTTAAATCAGATAATTAGGGATCCAGAGTGATGGCTGGGTAGTTTAAAGTGACTGTTGCTGGCTGTAATAACTTAAGTTCAATTCCTGGGACCCACATGGTGGGCAGAGTAGAACAAGTCCCAGAGGTTTTCTTGTGACTTTTACACACCATATATAGCATGTGAGTGCATATGTGTGCACACACACACACACCATAAATAAATGTAATAAAAAATAAAAACAAAATAATCACCTTATGATTTAAATACAATATTTTTTGGTTTTGTTTTTTTGGGGTATATTATCTTTTACAATTTAGCTAAGATACATCCTCTTCAATTCCAACACAGTCCAGATAATTTTCTACAATACTGGAAGTTCCTTCATCCTGTTACTGTCAGAAGTCATGCCTTCAGCAACCCCTATCTACCAATATATTTTCCACTTTTTTATTTTTCCCACTAATTAATTTATATATTCACTTTGTATCCGGATCACAAGCCTGCCAACTTTTCACAGCACCTCCCTCACGCAGTCTCTTCCCTTGTTCTCTCCTCCCCTTCTCCCCTGAGGAGGATGAGGTCCCTCCTGGGTTCCAAGCCATTCTGGCACATCAATGAACTGCAAAACTATTAACACCCTTTCCCACTGACACCAGGCAAGGGAGCCTAGATAGGGGAACAGGATGCACAATAAGGCAACAGGGTCAGGTTAGGGTTAGGGTTAGGGTTAGGGTTAGGGTTAGGGCTAGGGTTAGGGTTAGGGTTAGGGTTAGGGTTAGGGTTAGGGTTAGGGTTAGGGTTAGGGTTAGGGTCAGGGGCAGTGCCCAATCCAGTTATTGGGGAACCTGCAAGAAGACAAAGCTGCACATCTGCTACATAAGTTCAGGGACCTAGGTCCAGTGAATATATGCTCTTTGGATTATACAGCTGTCAAATGTGCATGCTAAAACACCAAGCCTCCTGGACAAAATGTGTGTATTGGTGAAAGAGTGGCACTAAATTCTTCAAAAAATGAACTGATTTCTGATTAGAATAAAAATTCATTCCCCAAATAGGAACATATTCCTGTTATTCTAACCTGGTCAAAATCTCATGTCTTAAGGAGGTCATACAGATACCGGAGGTAATAAATAATACAGGTATATTATTTTAAATATTTTTAAAAGGTATATTGATTTTAACAGGTATATTGATTTTAGATATTTTACAAAAACATCCGTTTGTTCTCATTATTGGGTTAATTAGTTTTACTCATTTTCCATGTGAAAATTTTTGTCAGTCTGGGGTTCACACTGTAAGAAATATTTGTTCTGTTCATTTTCAGTGGAGTTTATGAAGGTGCTAGACCCCTCTCTACCCTATGTTATACCCTGGTGCCTGCTTGCCTCAAGAATATAGAATAAAAGATGTAATGTGACTTAGCCCAACAACAGAAAAAAAAAAAAGTGCCAGGCTGAAGCCCTACGTGATCATTGGCTGTTGTTTTGTGATCTAGTACAATGATAGTGCATGCTTGAAAGGGTACAAGTTCTGACCTATGAGAAGAGAGACAGAAATGTATTGACCAGAAAATTTAAAATCCAGTGTTTTGTCCCAAATCATCATGCCAGTAGAAAACTTTGCCAAATCTTTATACCTTGGTCAAATATTTATACCTTCAGAAAAATTGTATGTTAAAAGCTGCTTCATTTGTTTTATTCTCTTGGATTTGTTACTTGTGATTTCCAACACTGTATATATCTTCAAAGCTTCCCTTAAAGGAATAAACTATACATGGAAAAAACTGTTATCTAAGTACTCTGAAAAGCGGGTATGCTGATTTTTGTGTCTATACTACGAACCTACTGAAAGCAATTGATCTGAAATTGGAAATGGTCAATTACAAAAGGTTAGATATTTCTTCAGAATCTTCCTTTTCGTTCTATCCTCTATAAACAAACTGTCTAAGAAAATCCCTGGTTCCTCATCTCTGAAAGTTGGCAGGATGGTGTGACAGTGTGAACTATTGGGTAAAAGATATTTTGAGATTGTGATTGATACCATAAATTGACAGCAGTATAGCAAGGAATCTGAGGATCATTCAGGCGTACATGTCAGAAAGCAAAGATGTTTTCTAAGTTTCAGAAGAAGCATGGAGGTTTTGAGCCGTGTGGGTTATCAGTAGGAGACATCTGCTGTAGTCAGGCTGTGTCTGATGCCTGTGGGGAAAGGATTAGGTCTGTCAGTCTGTGATCCATATGAGAGTCAGAGGGACAGCTGCAGGCATGACGTAAGTAGCAGCTAGGAAACTGATTCATCTGCAGCGGGTCCATCTCAGTGGGATCTGTGACCCTTTCTCTGACCACAACTTTGTACAAGGGAACATATCCAGAGAACATTACTGGTTTCCAACTGAGAATAATGCCCCATGGAATTGAAGAATTCAATTCGAGGCCCTGTGTTACAAAAGCTGATTATTTTGGAAGAGAACATTTAGGCTACTTACTTTCATAACACACACTTCATATGTGGAAAGGTGTTGAAGTAATTAATTTTAAAAAAAACATTGGCCACTGGTCAAGCCAACTATCTTAGCTGCAGCGACTCTGCCTAGCTCAGCCACAATGTTTCTCGACCAGAGGCCACGTGCATGCCTCAGCTAGAAACGGCCAGCCAGAATCACCAGCCCTGCGACTCATGAGACATCAGCATGGGAGATGGCTCTGCCAATCTTCTGTGCTCTCTCCACAAGGCTGGGCATTGCTCAGACCATCCCGCCATCCATGTGCCATCCAAAAGCTTATACATTTGGTAATGATCAGTAACAAGATGCCCATACAATCAGAAGTATAACTCAATACCCAACCTAGATATACTAACTACCTTTGACTGCTACAGACACATGAATATCTGCCTCCATGTTCCCCTCTCTCTCATTCCTTTCTCCTAGCTCCTCCTTTTCCTTCTCCTCCTCTCCTCCTTACTCCTCCTCTTCCTCTCCTTACTCCTCCCACCTTAGCTCCTCCTACAGAAACATAATGGAACTGTGTATGGGGATCTAGGGACAAAAGAATACTACAAACCCTCAGTGGGTGTGTTTTCCATGAAAGAGAAGATAGAAAATTTAGTCTCTGAGGCAACTTGTTAACCATTGCCTTTTCAGAGGAGGGAGTGCATTCTGGGTGTCTTTGCATAACAGAATAGGGAAAGATGGACCTATATGGTGTCTGCTGTTGTACTGGAGACAATAAGACAAATTTCACTGGTAAAAAGTATTTACCAGAAACAAATTTATAGAAACCATTGGACGTGAGTTTAATAGAGAGATGCCAAGGAAATTAACAAGACCTAGTTCTTAAGAAAAACAAGAACCGATATTTGGACAGGATCTGACATTAATTTACTCAAGAAATAATCTCTGTTCAGAGAGAAGTGACCCATTTCCATGAAAGGAGAGGGGATCATAATTAGACCTTGAAGTCAAAGAGCATTGTGATACATAGTACATCGTAACAGGGGTAACAGGATGAGGATGTGAGCTTGGGCAATATTAAAGACAACCTAAAATTACTAAGGGAGTCAACATGGAAACATAGAAGAGATAGCTGGCATTGGGCTGCATGACTGGAGAACCTGAAAAGGGAAGGGGAAAGAGAAGGAAGAGGGAGGGAGAAGGAAGGAGGAAGCACATGAGAGATGGACAAACAAGAGCCAGAATTTTCTTACTTACATTTCTGAGATAGGGACAAGCTTGACCAGAGCTAGAAGACAGTTTCTGACCAGATATGGTGGCACAGGCATTTACAACTCAGCATTCAGGCGGCAGAAACAAGCAGATCTGTGTGAATTTGAGGACAGCTAGGGCTATATAACGAGACCCGGTCTCAAACAAAATAGTGTTCTGGGGTGTGGGAAGCACATAAAGAAATTTTGTTATGTCTGTAGGAGACAGAGACTAGAGCAGCACCGTGGAAAGGAAGGATATCATCTGATTTTCTTGTCTTTAAATGACAGGACTGTGATCCAACAATACCCAAGTGTGACTATGGGCTTCCCAAGGGGGAGTCTTCTCTGTCTACACAATGGGTGTGTATATTGTTAGGGCAGCTCTAATGGCAGTTTTATATGAGGGGCATTTCTTCAACTTAAAATTGAGAGAGGAGATTGGGAGAAGCTCTATGTAATTTGGGTACTAAGGAAGCCGAATTTATTTTTGTCTTTCAATATATTTAATAAGTTTGTAGAAAACGGATCCTATGTGATTTAGGCTTTATTTGTGGTGCTTTATGTTCTCTGACTCCATCAGTAAGACAGGGAAGCCAGATCCAGAATGGAAGTCCTGTTTTCTTACCGTGATTTTCTTCCCTGACCCTGTAGTTCCCTTATCTTTCCATCTTGCCCCAAGGAAGATGACTGTAGTCCGACTGAAGGATAAACCTGAATATGCAATCAGATTTCAGTGATTTGTTGAGCAATTAAATGTATACTTAAACGTATATTCTATTCTCACAGAGTCGGGGAATTTAAAATCTGGATGTGAAGGCTTAAGATAACAGTTTAGTTCTGTATTGCAAGTCACCGCCTAGGATGTAGCAGGCTCAGCCACCCAAACTCAAAAGTCCTTTAAATCTCAGAAACGCTGATCTCCATAGGCAAGTTAGTGAAATAACTTGTGGACAAGAATCCAGAAGAACTTGAACCACTGGGTAGTGGTGTAGACGTGACCAGATATCACTTAGGATCTGTGCTTCCCCCGGGCTATCTGCTCAGCCCACTAGCTCGGGACCCATTCCTCTTGTAGCCTGACCTCCTATATAAGCATGCACAATTGAGGTCTTGAATGCTCTGCCCTCATCACTACTGCCCTCTTTACCTGGAATCCCGAAGCCATGGGGAAGCATCTTCTGCTGTTCCTGTTGGGCCTCTCCTTTGTGGTGGGCTTCCTGCAAGGTGAGATCCTGGCAGATGGTAGGGGCTGATGCTGACAGCAGACAATATGCTGAGTGTATTGGGTTTGGGCAGTGAGGAATAAGATACTAGACTGGACTTACATTTGTAAGTGACTCCACGCCCTTCCTCTCCACATCCCCACATCTTTTCCTTCTCTGCCCTCTGTTGTATACAATTCTTCCTCCTCTTTATCATTGATCTGGTGGTCCTGGTGTCCTTTCTCCTTGTACTTCAGCTCTGCTTCTCAGGTTTTAACAAACTTAAGAGTCTCAATTCCTCCAGCTGGCCTGTGCACAGGCCTAAATTTGCATTGGAAATGATACAGTAAGGTCCTTGATAGGATGCAGATAATGACGTCATGGGGATCGCCTGTCTCAAGCTCCTACAGCAGAGCTCTTGTCTTCCACCCTACAGCCCTGTCCATTTACAGTATTTGAAGTGAGGAAAACTCCTCTTCTTGACCCTTTCCTAGGTTCTTCCCAGGCCCCACCCTGTAGGGCTCAGATCAGGACACATCCAGTTCTTTCCTTAGTCACTGTTTCTTATTCATTGATTATAGCTACAGGCTCAGCTCAGCCTGAACCTGAGCCCTGAATGAACCTCTTACCTTTGATTTTTCCTTTTCAGCTCTGACATGTTGGGACTGTGCCATTTTAAAGTCTGATGGCAATTGTGTGAAAGGAAACACCACCTGTGAGGCTAAAGATGACCAGGAATGTGCTTTACTGGTCGTTTCTAAAGGTGAGTCAAGCCTGGGAGACCTCAAGGTGATCCTGTTTGCCACTGACAAATGAAGTAGCACTTGTTACACTCCTGGGGACAAAGCAGAAACTGTGTGAGGGACTGTGTTTTTTGGGTAAACTCAGGACAAGGTTCCTTTGCACTTTCTACTGCTGTTCTTCTGTTTTGGTCAGATGAGGAAACTGTTTTGAGTGGCATGTGGTCTCTTCATGGTCGTTAGGATATTTCTTGGGGAAATATATCCAGAGATAAAAGAATTTAAACTATAAAATTCCATCAGCAATTTTGGGAGTGGCAGGCATTCCTACAAGCCAGATTACAGGTTGGCTGCTGGTCACTACACTCACTTCAGTATGACTGTCATATATTTCCTCACATGTGTGTACATGGAGCCTGACTAATCATTTACTGAGACTCTGATTTCACAAATGTTTATGTTTACCCTTGGTTGTCTTCTTGTACAGGTGATAATATCCTGTATCGGATACAAGATTGTTCATCCAGGTGCTTAAATAAGACTTTGACTTATCCCCATGTAACACTGAATTTTTCATGTTGTCATGACCAATCACTCTGCAATGAGTTTTAGAGGCCAGGCCGTTTCTTGCTCAATTCTGCTGCGGGTGAGTCCTTACCCTTCCCTGTGCTCTCACAACATCTGTTCCCTGCACCGCCAAGTCCTGACAGCAGCCTGGGATCGACATCTGCTACTGATGTTTCAGCAGTTCAGCTAGGGACAGAGAGATGCTCTCTGCTTCCCACCCCTCAGTGCTTCCCCCTTTTAGATTCTTGTTCCTTCCTTTCCTTCCTCCGTCTTTCCCTCAGTAAGAGACATTTACCACACTTGCCCATTTTCTTTTCTCTGTTACCTTTATCAACACTGGTTTTTATACTAGTGAATATGACAGATCTCACACCCACCCTTTATGAACCTTCAGATTATTGATGCCTCTTCTGCCAAGGTTGCTAGCCAACATTACATAACCTCATTCTTATTCATTGAATGGAAGTCAGATACTATCTGGTTTATCACTACTCTAACTTGAGTAAAGCAGCATAATGCAGCAATGATATATCTTAGTTTATGGCTTCAGAGATTTTCATCCTGATGATAGCATGTAGTGGAACAGAGCTTTTCACATCATGGCATGTAGGACACACAGCTGAGCATAGTGGGAGGAACCAGGACAGGATAGAGCCTGTGAGGCCGCAACTCCAAAGAATGCTTTCTCCTACCCTCACCTGTAACACTCTTAATAATCTATTCAATTTGAATGAATTCATGGCTTAAATCATAAATTTCGTTGGAGACATCATATCCTAATCATGGCTAGAAATGTCACAGACATACCGAGAGTAGTGTTTAAGAAATGTCTTGAATATTCTTGATATAATGATGTTTAAGTTAACATTAACCATCACATAGGCTGAAGTCACCACAGTACCACCGCATCGAATTCTATTTTGTATACACATTGAAAGATTTCCTGGTTGGCTTTACCCCTTGTAAAGTACAGAAATTTGAAGTTGATGTTATTTGCGTCAGTGTTTACCTTTTTCCAGCGCATTGCATACACAACTGAGAAAATACAGACAATATTATCCAGATAAACATGGCTAGTAATGCCATCCCACGCTGCAGAGACATAGCTTGTTTACGTGTTCAGATGTATATTCCAAAGTTTTGAAATCATTCATAAGTTACGATGTGTATTCTCATGTGTTTACATATGAATATTTATATACTTGCAAATATTAAAATCATTGTAATTTTGTTTTTCCAGTGTTGTTCCTTGAATCCTGGCTCTGGAGCTTCCCAGTAAACATGCCACTGCTGACCTTCTCTTGAAGCCTGTATTTTGGTCTTTCCATCATGTACCTTAGAAGTCTTTTGCAGTCAGCATGTATCTTATTATATTATATCTGATGCTCTGTCATTCATCATGTACTGTTTAAGATTTATTTCATCTGTGCTATATGGGTGTCTAGATTGCTTTCAATTAAAAGTTATTACATTTATTTATTTATTTATTTATTTATTATTTATTTATTTATTTAGTATTTGTGTGTTGACATGCCACATGTGTGGAGATCTGAGGTGGACATGCAGGAGTCAATATTCTCTTTCTAACATGTTTGTTCTGAAGAATGAATTCCACGGTCAGACTTGGTGGTTCGTGCACTTGTGCTCTGTGTTGTGTTATTCCCTCAAATTTAAAATTATATGACTAAAGACCAGTGCATAACATCGTTTGACACTAAGCCCGATGATTGAATTCAGTTCCTAAGACTCACATGGAAGGAGAAAGTGGATGTAAATGAGTTTTCTTTCCACATTCTGGCCCTTGCAAGAGTATGTACACACACACACACACACACACACACACACACAC